CCACAACGCCCGGCCATTTTTTGGTTGCAGCCGTCATTGTTGTTTGGCGGGTCCAGGCTGGGGATTCGAACCTGCCACCTTAGGTGGACGTGGCTGGCGCCTTAGCCGGTTGAGCTATAGGCGCCAAGCCCATTGCTATCACTTCTAAGGCAGCTATGGGAAGAGAGCGTTGATGCTCTGCAGAGGACCACAAATGACAGGCTTTCTTTGCTTCTTTTAGCTAAACCAGAAAGAGGCTAGGTACTAAGAGCTAAGCCTGCCTTAGCTCCTGGAGCCCTGGCACTCACTGCGGGGAACAAGCAGGGGACCCCATCTAGCACGCGGCAGTCCTTACGTTTTTCCAGGGGATTCCTTCAACCAGAAGATGTCATCACTTGTAATTCCATATTCCAGGGCACCTTCGATCTGTCAAGACAAAAAGGATCCAAAGGACAAGAGTTGCATTTGGCCTGTCCCAGGTACTCCCTCAGAGAAAATCTGTTTTGCAGACTTAACCTGAACCGCCCCAGCCCACAGCCAGGCAGGGCTTCCCTGCCACATCCTCGTCCCTGCCCATCCCTGTCATCCCTGCTAAAGAGGCTGCAGCATCCTTGGAGACAGAGGGTGACCTGTCTCGAACTTGGTGTACCCTGGCAGGCGCCCTCCAGGCGAGCATAGTAGTGGCTCTTACCTCTCTGCTGTCTGTGACCCTCCCCTTGACTTGGACTCAGACCCAAGACACAGGCATGGCAACTGCAGGGGCCACCCAGGTGGGAGAGTAGGGCCCCTTCCAGTCCACTGGGTCCCAGAGCATGCCAACCAGGGCCTGGCCTCGGGAGCCCAGACTCAGAGGGAAGCAGCAGGTGAATATAGGTCAGCAAATCAGGAGCGAAGAGAGCACTGCAGCCTCTGGGCAGAGGGGAGAAGTAAGACCAGGGTATGGGAACCCCACAGCACCTGGCTGAAGGTTAGACCAACTATGCTTCTGGAGGGGTGGCCCAGGCGGGCTCTGTGTAGGAATCATACTGATCACCCAAGTGGCCATGCAGGTGGGGGAGACCCAGGGGCGAGAGCCCTCTCAGTGGCTGTGAAAGCAAGATGGGCTTGAGGAGTAAATAGGTCTCAAACAGTTTACGCTTCCAACTGGCAAAAAAAATAAAGTCAAGAATTTCTTGGGTTTGCTCAAGAAAACTAAAAGGTCTGACAGTGAGAGGGACTAAAACAAAAAGACAAGCCAGGCTTCGCAGGTACCCAGAGAGGGTGCTCCAGGACAGGGAGGGTGTGCCAGGACAGTGAGTCGCTGCAAAGTGCGAGGGGGAAGGTGGTCATGTCAGGCCCCTGCGTGGGCACCCCTTCTGCCTCGGAGGAGCTGAGGTGACTGCTGGGCTTCTGGACCTAACTGTGGCCTTCAGGAGCTTTAAGCAGAACCACCATGAGCCCAGCTACAGGGTTAAGGGGTCATTTTGACTCTTGTTTGCTGTAGCCAGCTTGAACCATAGTCAGCATGCACATCTACAGCCCACCTGAGCTCAGCTCTCTGCACAAGTGACCTCACTCCTACTCAGGCTGTGCTTCCTGACTTGACAGCCAGCGAAGTCCTGTGGCCCTCTCAGGACCGGGGTTGCTTGTGCTCCATGGGTCCCTCTGTGCCTTGCTTCTAGGCAAATACAGAACAGCAGCAGGAGGGGAGGGACAGAGGCGCCCACTGCCCCCACCTGAGAAGCAGCAGAGATGCCCTTGCTCTGCCTCCTCCTGCACTCCTGGCACCTAAGTCAAAGGCCGGCATGGCCTCCAGCCTGTGACACCTATGGCCTCCCTGGGCTTTGCTGCAGCCCCTGCAGAGGCTTGGGGCTGTTGGCGCCCATTCCCTGGGAGACCGAGGCAATACCTCTTTGCTCCCCTCACTCGCTTTCCCTGCAATGGACATCTCCCACTCTCATTCTGTGCCCCCGTCCTCAGCTCAGAGCCCACATCCCACAGACTGAGCCAGGAGGTATTGACATGTCTATTAAAAGACAGTGAAAAAATGGTCAGATTCAACTTTTTCAGAAATGCAGAAATTAACCAAAGGCTTTCAGCAGCACAGGGAACACTTAATTAAGAAAAATAGCTGGCTCGGCGCCTATAGCTCAACCAGCTAAGGTGCCAGCCACGTACATCTAAGGTGGCGGGTTCGAATCCCCAGCCCAGGCCCGCCAAACAA